TGTCCAATTAGTACTTTTAAATCATGCGTCCAAACGGTTGAAGGGCTACAGTGTGACGAGGCCTCAACAGAACCGGAATATGGTAAAGAATGATAACCCTCGTCTGTAAATTGCCAATTCTGAAACTCGCAAGGGCATGCTTGCAGCGTATTAATTAGGTGGTCAATATGACTTAGAAAAAACACCGTAAGCTTAACTCTGCAGCAGTAGGAAACTTAGTACCAGACGGTTTGAGCACACTGAACACACTTAGCAGTGTTGCAATTGAAATCCTGTCCATGAAGACTGTGAAATCGGAGGAAGGCGGGAACCACTGAAAAAACCTCACACAACAACCCCGTTATCCAAAAGCAGTAGCAGCTGTTACATTAGCAAAACTACAGAAAAGCCTATGGGAGAAAACAGTAACAAACATAAACGACAGGCAGCGACTGTAATTTCACTTTTACCTTATTTAATCCATTAATTTTTAAGCCCTTCGTTGCATCGTTCTTACATTCCTCGTCGTCCGACTCGTCGTCGCTGCGAACATCTTCCATCTAAACAGAAAATAACTGGCTAGTTAAAGAAATCGTAACAGCAAAATGACTGCAGTACAAAAGAAACAAATTTATGCCACACTGTGGCTCTAACATCCAGTTTTTAAAGCGTAACGTTGAACGACTTCCCGCAACACAACAGCACTCGGTACACCTGTGTTCAGCTTGCATGACAACGAAAATAAGGACTAGTTTAAACACTGTGGCCAAAATAAACAACTGCTCATCTCCTTGAGAGAACTCACACAACTCCAAGATTTCTCTCATTCTAACAGTTTCCAAGAGATTAATATCTAGATATTAAATTTTAACGCGTAGATAAGTCGATCTAACGCTCCCAAGAAATGCTATGTTTTTGTACAAAATCCAACAGAACCGGATCAGGATGTGTCGTCGACGTCGAGAGTCTGTTTACAATGGAGGTGAAATTTCAGAAAAGTCATTTTGACGAAAACGAACGTACAAAAGAATAAAACGACGCGTCCAGAAAATAAGATATGTACCTCGCCGCTACGCACCGCGTTCAGTGCAATGCGAAGAATCAGAAAAGACCAAAATAACTGCAAAACCAACAAGATCAACAGCAGGCAGTTGAAAATGTAGTAGACGGGAAAAAACTGAATAAGAGACGGCGCTTCAATGGTCGTCGAGTAGATAATTCTGAAAAGAAGATGCCAGCTCAGAACCGACAACCTGGCGAAACAAACAACGATGACGAACAGATGACTTACTTGAAGGGGTAGATACCGCACCTGGTGACGAACCAAATAGCCGTGAATATAACAAATAACACGTTGCAAAGGACGTTCTTATGGCAGTAACGAGCCATCTTTGCGCTCTAAAAGGTAAAAATTTAAAAATTACGTCGCGTGAGGTTTTCATTTTGAAAGAAAAGAATAGAGAAACGAGGAAGAAGAAGAATAACATAGAAAGAGAAAGGAAAAAAAACAACAGGAAGACGATGACGAAAAAGATCATACGAGTAGGACACAGGTGGAAAAAATATCAGGGGAAAAAGCTGATGAAACTGCAACAAGTGTGCAACTCAACCATCAAAAAAAGAAAAATGAAAGGACCAAAAAGGTCACTATTTAAACTGGGTTTATTACTGAATTAAACAAACCAATGCGTTCGCGCACAAGGATGATCAAAGTAAGGGAACAAATTTAAGACAAAAATAGAATTGTCATGAAGATCGATAATGAATCCTGAATGGTAATCAGGATTTATTAAATGTACTTACTGTATCAGCAGAAGCACGCTGACTAAACATTCGATTGGAAGGACCAGGAAATACCGCCTTTAAAAATAGTCGAACAAGCCATAATTAACTTATTTTATCGTGTTACCCAGCGCATGAAGGAATAACGACCACTCGTGAACAGAAACAAGGGAAGAACATAATAGAACTTAAGGGACGATATCAATAAATGGAGAAAATAGCGCATTTCTTTCCAACTACAATAATCAACATCAGAGAAATTTAATGTGATAATATGGTTTGAAATTCGATACCATGTAATAATCCTTCTGAGACAGAAGGAATAAATTTGGCTTTAATTTCCAGATTTACTATTAATACTAACTCCTCTAACATCCTGAAACGCAACTACTCAATTTCATATACAACAACATACATTTCTACATTTCAGTATCGGTCAGGCGTCAGACAACAAAACAAACAGGCGAACAAACTGATAATACAATAATTCCGAAAGCTGTGTGTAGCCAGCTGAGATAACTGGCAAAATGGCTGTTAGTCAGAAGGAATTTCTGTTCACAAATACATAATATAATAATCTAACTTTACAACGTCTTCGATACAAACTTAAACTAAAAATCTATATTTTTAAGACTACTAAATTTCAATAAAATAAATGTAGTATCATACTTCCATCCAAAAGTCAGCTGTATCGTGAACAACTAGAACAACTGTTCCCATGCGCAAAAAGTTGTTCGCCCATGAAAAAGACATAAGCATGATGGTAGTGATGTGATGAACGAAATTCACCCAAAAATCCTTAAATTCTTTTGCTGAAACAACTTATCAAAAAACTCTGTTATACCTTTCGAACCGTGTCCACGAACTGGGAGAACATTAGTGACCAGTAAAAGCTGAGTTCTATCATGTAATACCACCAAATTTCCGGCTCGATAAACTAAAATCAACACGGTCATTAGCTGAAACCTATCTTAGCACTGTTCTAAATGGGTGGGGGATATGTTATTAAATCTATAATGAAGCTAAAGCAAACATTACTGCATGGCGTAGGAGGCACCCTTCTTTCAAGAAGGTTATGATGCAGCAGTAACGCCTGTTTCTGTACTACCGGCCACGAGTTCCTTACTATTCTAATTCTAAAGCTATATTAACAGGCAGGTGGCCACTAACGAAGCGCTACTCATTTATCAACC